AATAATATATTTAATATATTTTAATTTATACTTTAAGATACAAATTAGATAAATTATTTTTTATTTCTCATAATATGTAAAAATATTTGAAAAAATTACCTTAATTTATTCCAAAAAGCAACCTTTATAATTGAAATAGACTCTTTATTGCAGTTTGGTGTGATTTATTACAATTTGTTTATTGTATATTGACTAGTCAGCACCACCTTAAACTACGTTTTATTGACTAGTAATTTTTCCATTTTCGTGTGTTCCATAAACTTGTTACAAGGGCTTAACTTGCTCCTTTTTTCGACGAAAATGATCATGTCGCTTGCTGACCAGCTTTCTTTCGGTTTTTTCCTAATTTTACATGTGTTGTGCGGTTTAAGTCCACTGAATTTGTCTCTATATTCTAAAAATAAAAAATAATACCCCCTTTTTTTTTTTTTGCTAACTTTATATAATTATAGTCTAATTTATGAGAAAGTGATTTCTTTTTTTATGTAACAATTTGTGTCCTATCATTTTTAAGAGGCACATGATTCTTTTTGGACATGATTTTCTGAACTTAAGAATTTTTTTTTTTTTGGTAAATGTAACTAAACAAGTAAATAATTGAGGTTTAATCAAAGGATATGTCATATTTTGTTTAAGAACAATAATTAATATATCATCTGTTTTAATATACTATATAATACATTTTGATTCAACTATTAAAATTTATTTTTGAAAATTTTCTTGTCACAAATTTAAATTTAAAAATTATAATTTCCTAATAAATATGTTATAAAATGTGTTAAAATAAAAGATATACTATTTTTTTTTTTTGTTTAAATAGCTCCATGATTAGAGAAGATGACAATCATTGACTACCATATAATTGATTCCAAATTTCTCTGGTTAGAGAAGATAAAAATTAGTCCTAGGCTCCTAGCACAATAAGGATAAAACGCAAATTCCAAATTCCTCGTCGCCTAACATTATAATAAAAAATTAAAAACAATGAAAAAAAATTATATTTTAGGGTTCTATTTTGCCAAAAGGAAAGAGAGAAAAAGAGAGAAAGAGATAGGATCTCTTCCCCTTCTCAATAAGGAAAAAGTCATTAAATAAGGCAAAATTTTGTAATAAAAGTAAAAACATAGATTAGTTAGTGGTATTATATGGGCAAAAACAATTCATTCTATTTTTTTATGGTAAAAAAAGATAAGGATTAGTGAGTAACATAATGGGCACAATAAATTTGGTATATATATTAATACTATACTATAATAAATAATAATTGGAATTGAAATTTTAGTTCTATTGTTATCTCTAGACAACTTCCATTATTGAAGTTAGGTTTACATCTGGAATATAAATTTGTTGAGATCTATTTGCAATTTCTTCTTATATTCAAAACCTTGCAAATTTTGTCGTTTTGGTGAATAAGCCTTGCAATTGAGTTCAAGCTCAAGATGGTTAACCTTTCTCTTATATTGTAAAACTCAATATATCACTTACACCATTACAAATAGATCCTAACTCATTTCCCAAACCCTTTTTCATAGGTGATGGTTCTATTTTCCACACCACTCCCACCTGTACTAGCTTTTTAACATTTAAATGTGTGACTTTTAATGAGTAAATATGACTTATTTGAATTTAATACTTCCAATATGTAAACTTTAACTCACCTATTATGATGTCCATTTCTCATTTTTGGATCAGTGGATGGTTTGCTTCTAGTATTTTTATTGAATTATATATTTTATTGTCTGTTTCTTATTAATTTTATTGTGAAATGAAAGATAATTAAATTTATTATTGTATTAGTACAAATCTCTAATGTAAAACCTCTCTAATGAATAGTTTAGTTATGGGATATGCATAGTTGATATGGAGATACAAGATGTGAATAACTGAAATTGTTATTTTAAAATAAATATGATTTTACTGTGAATAATTGAAATTGTTTCTGATTAAAGATGAGATTCAAATTTTACAATATACTCCCATGAATACAATTAAAAATTTCGATTTCCTGTATTGATTCATTTTTCGTGATCCTCTGATACGGTGGTACCATGAAAGGGTACAACAAATAACTGACATGGACATAGTATTTGTGTTTCAGTTTCAGAAGTTTTCTTCATCCATCGATTAGTTACTCCTTTAAGAGTTTCCACTTGTCTTTCTGCACATCGCAAATCACACTTAAGAGGAGAAATTCGGGTGGCGGTTGAGGTTACGGACTCATCAAGGTCAGTTGATGTGGCATTGGTGAGGCCCACTAAAGGCCAGCTGTAAAAAAATATAAAAATGGGTTGGATGTCTGACAAGGTAGTGATTAACGGTGAGCAAACTATTTCTTGCTTTAAAATTGGACGGAACTTAGACAAATGAAGACATTGATGCCATTTTTAATAGTAAGAGAAGATATGTGTAGTTAATTAATAATAAAGAGAGGACATGAGATAAATTGAAACTATAAAATTTAAATTAAACTATTTTAACAATAGAGAGACGAATAATTGGCATTAACCTCAGAAATTACTGGAAGAAACAATTATGTTGGTACGGCCAGGAGTGTGGACGCGAAATCAAATTTCAAATTTCTTAAGTTAATGCAAGTTTTTTTAATTTTTTTTTTAAATAGGCAATGGTAAGTTATTGCACCATAATGACACAATAATTCATCCCAATTTTCTCTAGTTTAGAGAAGATAAGAATTAGTACTGACACAATAAGGATAGAAGTAAATTCCAAATTCCTCCTAACTTAACATTATAATCAAAAATTAAAAAAC